CCTCTGTGCTGCAACCTAGAACAAAAGCACAGGGTGACCACAAAATAAACTGCTGAGCTCTGCGATTTTGACTTTTATTGCAGCAGAGACTAGTCTGTCCTACTATAGAGACAAGGTGGGGTTTCTCTTCTTTCCTTTTCCCTCCCTCCCTGTCTTCCTGCCTTTCTTTATTCTTCCTTTCTTCCTCCTCCTTCTTTCCTTTTCTTTGTTTTTAAATTTGAAGACAAGAAGACCAAGTTCTCTGTTTGAAATAATTATAAGTATTATTAATTGGAATAGGAAAACTTAATTGGAACAGGAAAACCTTGAGTATCAACTCATCCAGTCTCTAAACCTCAGACTCCCGGAATGGGACAGGATGTCAAGAAATTAATGGCATAAACAGAAGTTTTTGGATCCCAAATTCCGTTCTCTTTCTACTCTACTATACTGTAGTTAATAGAGTAAGATGATCTTTCTTTTTCCTTTTTTTAAGAGGAGAAGAAATTGAAATTATTTCTACAGAAATAAAGATGTAATGGGTACAAAAAATTCTGAATTTTGAGCACAAGGGAAAAGTATATATAACTTATGATTGGCAAGTGGACATATGGGTTATTTTCCTCCTGTCCTTAAGATTTCAGTGTTTCCTTTCCCCACACCCTGGGGAGAATATAAATCACTGCCATAAATATAACATAATATATGAATTGCAAATGTCTTTTCAGTTTTTAAAGATCATTCTGCATTTACAGTACTTTTTCGTTCAAGGCTGAAGGATTAAACTTTATTTTTTAAATTTAAATTTATTATTTTTAAATTGACAAAAGATAATCTATATTTGTGGTGAACAACATGATGCTTTGAAATGTGTATACTTTGTGGCATGGTTAAATTGAGCCAATTAACATATGTATTTCCTTACACATAATTTTGTTTGTGGTAGAACACTTAAAATGTACCCTCAGCAAATGCATTTGGTTATAAACTATAGTGACCAAATTTTGCACTAAATCTCTTGAACTAATTTCTCTTGGCAAATTGAAATTTTGTATCATTTGACTGACATTTCCTCCACTTCCTATCCCTGCCCCTGGAAACCATCTTCTACTTCCTGCTTCTATCTCTTTGGATCCCCACTTCCCCCAAGAGTCATAAGCAAGTGTATGCAGTTGGCAGAACCAAAGTATCATGTTTTTAACCATCCTGTCCCCGCGCCAGGAAGGATAGTTAAATACTTGACGGCCACAGAAACAGTCGTTTTGGAGAAGCTGGTAATTCTAGGGAGGGCAGTGTGTGTCTCCTTTTTCAGTTTGCTTCGTTCAGGGAAACATGATATAGCTCCTTGGCAACATGAGGAGTCTGCAAACTTTCTGTTTGCTTTAGTCAATCCACACAGTGACTGTATCTTTCCTCATTATCAATTACATCTGTGAGTTGTGGATAAACATTGATTTTGTTTCAAAATCTTAATAGCATGGGGCGGTGCCTGTGGCTCAAAGGAGTCGGGTGCTGGCCCCATATACTGGAGGTGGCAGGTTCAAACCCAGACTCGGCCAAAAAAACCGCCAAAAAAAAAAAAAATTCTTAATAGCATGCTGAAGAGTGCTGCTGGTGCATGAAGCAATGAGAAAGTCCTGCTGTAGGGCACAGCAGGGTCCACTTTATACTGTCCATCCCATCATAACACTCAACTTCCAATACTTTCAGTTTATGATGTGTTTATCCAGATACTACCTTATTAAGTGTAGGAGGATCTGTACACATACGGAGAAGTCACATAACACAGATGTAAAGTCCAACAAAAGTTGTAATGTGAACATCATGAGTTCACCTTAGTTGTCACTTCTGAATACTGCTTCTTCCTTCCCTTTAGAGATAAGCACTATTCTGACTTTTACATTTCCAGTTCTTGTCCTTTTATTTCTTTTTCTTGCCTTACCTCTCTGCCTAGAACTTCTGGAACAATGTTGAATAAGCAGTTGTGGCAGCAGGCATTTATGCCTTATTCCCTATTTCAAAGAAAAAGATTTTAATGTTTGTCATTAATCGTGAGGTTTGCTCCAAGTTTCCACAACATTGGGGGAGTTATTCCTTCTGGTTTGCTAAGAGTTTTTAGAAAGTAATGAATGAGTGTTGAATTTTATCACATGCTTCCTTTCTGCATTTGTTAAAAAACTTCTTTTTATTTACTGTTTTAAATACTTTCATAGAAGTCAGCCCAGGACTAAAATGGACAGGTAACATATTTTTATTTTTCTTACAAGTTTTTCTACTTTTAGTATCTTCTACCATATGTTGTAAGATATAAAAGTTGGAAGGGGAGAGGGAGGTGAGGGGAGGGGGGAGGATGGGTGAAGAGAATGATATTGTGGGGATCACGCCTATGATTTATCCTATTAGGGTACATGTGAATTCGTCTAAAGGTCAAATATAAATGTCTTAACACAACAATTATGAGAAAGAAATGATGGCTATGTTAGCCAGTTGGATGAGAGTTTTTCAAACTGTATATGGAAGCAACACACTGTATCCTACGATAGAATTAATGTATACAATTATGATCTAATAAAAAATATTAAAAAAATATAAAAGTTGGAAGGAACCTTAGAAGTCATCTGTCACCCAGTTCATGAATCATCTCTACAGAAACCTAAATGGTTGGTTGTTCACCTGTGTCTGCTTGAACTTTTCGTTTGATTTTCTTTGAAAGCTCTAGTTATAGAAAGTCATTTCTTATGTTGAGCTGAAATGTTCCTCAGTGTCTGGTTCATGCTTTGGCCCAAGTTTTGCCATATGAACCAAATGGCAAATATTCCCTGAGGTATGAGTGGAGGCAGTGTGTTTGGGGGGAAGTACATAGTAGCCTTTAGAATTTGGCAGGTCTGAGTTCACTTCCTGGCTTAGCCATGGATGCACTGAGTGAGTAGTTCTGTATTATGGCAGATTATTTAATTGCCACAAATTCTTCCCATCACTGGATGCTTCTTCCTTGGATTTGCTCTGGCCAATAAAATGTGGAGAAAATGCTACTGGGAAAGTTCTGGAGCTTGGGCTCAGGGGCCTTGGTCCTCTTGGGATGCTGCTCTGAGCCTGCCATAAAAGGAAGTAATCTAGCCTACGAAAGGTAAACGGATGCTCTGAAGGGAACCACTGCACTCCATGGCTGCCTGGCAGGAGAGTGGGCCGTTTGGACCTCCCAGCCCAGAAGACCCTCCAGCTGAATGTGGCTGCCTGACAAGACCCTGGCAGAACCAGCTGAAGAACTCCTCAGCTGATCCATACAATGATTGTTGCTTTAAAGGCCCAGCCAAAGTTAATAGAAACAGAAATGTTAATTAAACTTCCTGAGTTTCTTCCCCATCCATAAGGTGAGAAAAAGTACATTTTGCAGTTATTAGTGAAGATTAAGTAATATAAAGAATACAAGTTGTGTAAGCAGCTGCCACTTGCATCATTCATTTTTACTCTTCCATACTTCAAGGTGAGGCAGACTTCACCTTGTTTGAGAAGCTTTCTGCCTATTTATTACACGGGTCTCTATCTAATTACCTTCCTGTGACTATTTTCCCTATTTTGTTAATGTCCCCACCCAAAATAGTAGGGCAGATGCGATCTGATCATTGCCTGTTACAGTAGGACAGTTACCTTCAGTAACAATACTTTTCACACAGTAGATACCAAAACAATGTTCTTCTTCTTTTTTTAACCCAGCCTAAGTCAGGGTGCCTTTATTTAGTTCAGGAATTCCTATTGTCATATATTCAGCTTGCTGTTAATTATCACTTTGCTTACTCTGAGTTGAACTACTATCACATCAGGCTCCCTTCCCCTGAACTTGTGCAGGTAGCTTCCTGGAACTTAAATTTAGGACTTAATACCTAAGCTGGAGAAATTTCTTTTCATTAGTCTTAGCCTAGCACTCCAGCTGGCCAAGGTAATCTTGGTCTTACCCTGTCATGTTCCTTCACTTGGTGCATCTAGATAATTATTACTAAAAATAACGTTATAGGACAGAGCTAGGGAAGGTGTCAAGGGACACACTAAACACCTCTTCCAAGTCTGGCACAGGGACAGGAAATAGTTTTAACGACTGTGTGACAGGTATATGTCATTCACAGCATATAGATGCTTCCACACACATTAGCATGTCAATCCATGCTCAAATATGCCCAGTAGAGGTCTGTAAGTGCAGTAAAATTCTTTGCTGAAATTAAAACACATTATGTCTCGTGAAAATATTCTTTATTTTTGAGCGACGTCACAATCTGTGTCTATTCTCTTTATTGGACCGCAGTGAATACAAAAACGTATACAACCCCATAGTTATGATTATACAAAAAAAAATCTTAAGCCTGTGGCCAGGGATAAGGCATTAAATCAAACTTTCAGTGCTTTTAAAAAGTCAAAGTGAAAAAATGACAGTTTTGTGCGAGAACGAATCTTGACGGCCAAAACGAATCTGAAATCGCCGAGTGAGAGACTTCACTGGGGTTTCCAAGAGAGCACCTGCGTGTGAGCACACTCCTGTGTTCCCAGAACCGGAGTACACTTTGGGAAGGGGAAGAGAGTGAAGAAGGGAGTGGCAGTTGGGTTCCCTCCCTTACGCTCTTTCTTCCCGCCCTCATCTGCCCCTTTCTAGATAAGGAGACTGAGTCTCCAGAGGAGCGTGAGACAGTTACAGAGGCCTCACACGCAGAGCCTGTACGAAGTAAAATGCCACGTGCGTGGCGCTGCAGCAGCCTGAGAGGCTAGGCTGTGCCGGCCTGGGCCGAGCCGGGGGTGCTCAGCCCAGCGGGTGCGGGCTGGTGCTTTGGAACGTCCCCTCCAAGGACCCGCACGCCGACTAGGCAGCCCCTTCATCCAGATTCGGCTGCGCAGCCGGGGGAGGGGGGCGTGAGACGAGGAGGGGGCGTGTCCCTTCGCCCAGTCCGGCCAACGCGCACGCGCAGCGGGCGGAAGGGGGCCCGGGCCCACTCCGGAGCGCGCGGCTGCGCACTGAGTTGCCCGCGCTCCCGGAAGCAGAGCGCCGAGCTCGCGCCACGTCTGTCCCGGCGTATCCACCCGGGTACGGGCTGCCGCGGCCCCAGACGCCAAAACTGCGGCCCACAGACGGGACTGGGGGCGTCATGGGCAGCGCGGTCCCTCGCTCCGCTTCCTCGCTGCTCCTGCTGCTGCTCCTGCTCCGAGTCGAGCAGCTTCGGGGCGCCGAGCTCACCTTCGAGCTTCCAGACAACGCCAAGCAGTGCTTCCACGAGGAGGTGGACCAAGGCGTCAAGTTCTCCCTGGATTACCAGGTGAGGCGCGGCGCCCGGCGGAGCTCCCTTCTCTCTCCCGCTCCCGGGTCTTCCGGGGTGCTTGTCCACCCCTGACTAGAATGGCTGGAATTAGACCAAGAGGCTGCTGAGGATGGCGGTCCCCAGAAACCAGTTTCCTTCCCCTTGAGGAGGAACGTTTGTCAGTCGGAGCCCAGCTGAGGCGCGGCCCGGCTGGGAGGGGGAGGTAGTGAGAGCAGCAGGTGAGTGCCAGGATGGGGATGGCTAAGGCGGGTCCCGCATCCTGGGATGTTGGCCAGAATAACCTGCCCTAGGCCCCTGGGAATCTAACGACAGCCAATTCTGATCCGCTGGGCACGGGCTCTCAGTCTGTCTTAAGTCTTTTTTGACCATCCTGTTACTGCAAGTACTGAAAAATGGAAGTAGAGGGAAAGGTTCATAGTTTTGTTCCTACCAACCTGCATTTATTAACGTTGAAGTTGGGGGTGAGTGTAGCCGCGGTGGAAATGATGGGTGCTTTGGAAAGGAGGGCTCAGCACAGCCTTTGCGTCCTGGCACTGTTTACAAGGAATGATGGTGTGGCAGCAAGACTGGGCCCTTGCCATATGGCTCAGAAAAGCCTAGCTCCTATACTCCTGTCACCTTTGAGAGGTATCTTGGCTTACAGTTGTGGAGAGTAGATATAAGGATTAATGAGCAGATCCAGGTAGGACCGAGTGAACCATATTCAGATAACCATCTGCTTGTGGTTGCATGCTGGCAGGCATTCCAGAAATGAGGAGGCATGGGCAGCACGAATGGGGACAAGCTAGTGGCCGGCCCCTCTGGGGTAGAGGCACTGGAGAAGGCTCCTCCTTGGAGACAGCTTCAGATGTGCTAGCCCCAGTCACTGATCTGTCTGTTTTCACATCTGTGTGGACAACATGCAAATTGTGGCCTAAGTGCCATGACAGGAAAAAAAAAAAAAGATAATTTTGTGGATGGAAGGCACTGAGGTGTCATTTAGGTATTTCCAGGACAGAAATCCCCTGTCAAGGGGTGTCCAGCATTGATTTAAGCACCCTCTGCAATAGGACGCTCGCTACTTTATGTAAAGCTTGCTGAATAGGACTAGTAACTTTTGTCTGAACGAGGGGTATTTTAAGTTTGGAAGCAGATGTTGACGGTGTCTTTTGATGGACCTTGGTTATAGCCCCTGCTTGCCTGTGTGATTTTGCTCTGTGCTGGTCTTACTTTTCTTATGTTTACAAGGAGAGTTTGAACTAAATGATTCTTGAGAACTTGCTGTCCCCTGACACTCACAGATTCTTTGAATCTATATTTATCTTCTCCTTGCATTCGATCAGTAATAATATTAACAGTTACTAGAACCACTCAGCAAGTTGGGAAATGGTACTTGCTCGCAGCTCCCGTCTCCTGCTAGGAGAGAGAAGCAGTAAGTGTAGTGTGCATTCCACCTGCTTGTGCTCCTGACTGGCCCCAAATCAGATTCCGCCTCTCCACCATCACCCCCAGAGGGCCAGTTTGTGGTCTGAGGATTTCCTATAATCCTTACCTCAACCCTGTGAGGTAAATAGTACTATTAATATTTTATAGATGAAGACATTTTAATGATGCAGACACATCCTCAGAGAGTAAAGTAACTTGTCCAGAGTCAGGCAGCTATTGGGTGACAGTCAGTGCCCTAAAACAGTGACTTGCTGGCAGTGCCTGTGGCTCAAAGGAGTAGGGTGCTGACCCCATATGCTGGAGGTGGCGGGTTCAAACCCAGTCCCAGCCAAAAGTAAGTGACTTGCTACATGTCTTCTATTACCTCTTGAACAAACAGAAAGATGCCTTGGGACAGTTTCCTGGGCATCCCTCCTTTCTTCTTGCTCCTGTTTCTGAAGCCTTGTCAACAACCCCATCCTAGGAAGAGCAGTTATCCTGGGCTATGCTAACTTGCATTGCAGAATAGTGCAATGGCTAAGCATTTGAGCACTAGAGCCAGCAGCCCTCAGGTCAGATCCCAGCTCTGCCACTTTGCTTGGAGCCTCAGTTTTCTCTCCTGTAAAATGGGAACAGTCAGTCAGTCTCATTGTTCTCTTGCAAGACAAAACTTGGGAGTCAGGCAGATGTAAATTAAAATTTTAGCCTTTTTACTTTCAAGCAGTGTGATCATGGACAGTTTACCCAGTTCACTGTGCTCAGCCTCCATGAACTGGGAAGTGGCAGAGCACCTGCCAGAACACCAGGAGCCTTCCTGAGAAGGCTGTGAAGATGCTGTGATGGAAGTGTTTGTAGAGTCTGATCATGGCATGCTCAGCATTTGGTAAGTGGTGACTGTCCTTCTAATAACAGCAGACATTTTGTGGTTGTTAGGTCATCACTGGAGGCCACTATGATGTTGACTGCTACGTGGAGGACCCACTGGGGAACATCATCTACAGGGAAACCAAGAAGCAGTACGACAGCTTCACTCACCGGGCTGAGGTCAAGGGTGTTTATCAGTTTTGCTTCAGTAATGAGTTTTCTACTTTCTCTCACAAGACCGTCTACTTTGACTTTCAAGTGGGCGATGAGCCCCCCATTCTCCCAGAAATGGGGAACAGGGTCACAGCTCTCACCCAGGTGAGTGGACATTAACAATGACAGGCTCACTGAAGCCTCCTAGTGGTTTCCTCCTTGTTGGCCTCTGTCTGGCTGGTGAGCAGAGGCATCATCCATCCAGTGTGTGTTGGCTTTGCTTCTTTCTTCACCTCCAGTCCTGAAGGGATGCTGTGTTCTCCTTCCAACCCTCCTTTCTATTCTTCAACCAGATCCCTACAGTACTTTCTCTCATATCTTTCTCTGCTCCTTCATTACCCCTGAATCCAGTCCTTCCTGAAGTATGGATGATGTGTGCCTCCCTGTTTAAATGATGTGCCTGTATCAGAAAGACCAAAGTCATACTTTGTGCCGTGTACTAAGTGGGAAGGAACACAAGCTGCTGTAACAAATACCCTCCAGATGTCAGTGGCTTAACACGACAGTTTATTCTTATAACCTAGAGAAGGCTGGTGGGGAGCTTTCCTCTTTGGTGGGACTTGGGAATCTAGGCTCTCTCTTTCTTGTTGTTTTTCCACCTTCCCTGAGGGCTGGAGACTCTCCAAAAGAAGGAAGGGATGAGAAAGACCCACCTGCTTCTTAAAAGCCTGGGCTCAGTAGCCACATATGTCATTTCTGCTCATGTTGCATTGGTGAGACTAGTCATGTCGCAAATCTGGGTGTAAAGAGGGCTGGTAAATACAGTTCTGGTTGGGCGGTCATCTCTTGGCAATGATACCACATGATGGAGGAGAAACTGAGATTTTTGGGTGACAGCTAGTCCTCCAGAGGAAGGGGCATATGGCCACCTTGGAGGGCAACCCAGAAGGTGATCTGGCCCATGCCTCTCAAGGTCACTTGCTGCTGATCCTAGCCTCCTGCATCTGCCTTCTCCCTGGCATGTGGGCTGTGTGCTCTCTCTGCCAGGATGCTGAGTGATTTACCTTCGTGTCTTCAGTGCTCCATGCATGAGGCATGGCACAGAAAGGAAGTCACCTCATCTTTGTCAAATGACTAAATATCGGGGCCCAGAGAAATCTGTAAGACAGTAACAGCCATCTGTGACTGTAGATGTTCCAGAACCAAGGCCAGAGCATCATATGTCTTCAGGAGGCCAGATGCCCTTCTGGGTTGCCCAGTGAGGTGGCTGTGAGCTCCATTCCTCTGGGGCTTTGGGCACACATGTGAGCTGCTGTGGCTTCACTTGCCTAGCCCTTCACTTCCCCAGCACATTCCTAGGCAATTAGAGCTTCAAGCTGCATTGTCCAGTCCAGTAGTCTCTGTGTAAATTTAGCTACTTAAATTAATTAAAATTAAATTAAAAATTCACTTCCTGTGCATGACAGCAACATTTCAAATAGTCAGTAGTCGCAGGTGTCTAGTGGCCATGTGTGGGACGTTCTAAGCCTCACTGGGTCTGAGCATGGCAACTGACTGCTGTTAGAAGCACCAGCTGAAGGTGTGTGTTACGTATAAGATCTTTTGCTACTGATATTCTTGAGAGTTCCGTTGGCACTGATGCAACATCCTCCATTTGGAAGATTTTGTAACTATCTAAAAGCTGAGCTGAAGGACTTCCTTCCTTAACCAGTAGAAAATGAATTGGTAGAGAAAAGCCTTAATGAATTAGGTCAATAGAGAAATACTTTCTGGGAGCCTGAGTGTTGGAAAGAGTGGTTTATGCCCCCTCCCCTTACATCTCAGAACTTCGTCTTTGCTCCTTTTCAGCCTCAGAAGAGGTGTTTCTTCCGTTTCTATAGTTCTGACCTCTCTGCCTTGAACTGGCTATACCTGCCTTTGTGAGCTCTTGCCTACCCCTGGTTGGCATTCACTCTGTCTGCACCCTGTGCTGGCAGAGGAAGGACGAGAGTGGATGGCACTGACCCTGGTGTTGGGATCCCTTCCAGGAATGCAGCCCCAGGAGCTAGTCATCCTCAGGGCTTTGTGCCCATAGCTGTGATTAAAGGGTCAGGGGTCTCAGGTAGGCACTGATGGATTCTTGCTGGAGGGTCAGGAAGGCTTTAGCTTAAAAGTGAAAATGTGAGAGTAAGTTTGGCATCCCAGATGAAGAAATGAGCAGGTGGAATTTAGGAATTTGTCCCAGCAACCTCTGAAAATGTTGTATCTTGAGCCAGCTTTGACACGGGTTCACACAGCCTGACTCCACACTGCAAGCTCTTTTCCCTCTTCCTTCCCAGTTAGTCCCTGGTCCATCTCTGTGACCAGCCAGCGTTCCACCACATACACACCACCATTGTCTCAGTGCAGGGTTTGTGCCTGAGTGGTCTTTTCTGGTGGTTGGCTTATGAAGCCAGTTGGCATCTATCAGTCTCCTTGGACCCAACTTCTAGATGTCAGGAACTTGTCTTGGGATCGTTTATCCCTTTTTCAATATCAAGTATCTGCATGTACAGCCTACTTGACAGATGTCTACAGAACAAGGAAATAGTCTTGTGCTGATGACGTTCCAGCCACGAGAGTCTGTGGCTCGAGATGCATGTAACAGGACAGCAGGATAAAGGCACCCATGGGAAACAAAGTGGAACACAAACAGGCCTATTATTCTCCCTGGATTCTGCTCCTTGAGCTGACACCTTGCCCACCTCCACCAGTGCTGTGTGATAGCGGTGACCATCTCACCTCTGTGCCCATGTGACATGTCACCACTTCTACCCATGGATCAGGGGTCAGTCACCAAGGACAGAGGAAACCCAAGCCTTGGGAGATGGACCAGTTGCCAGGCTGGTGGAAGATACTGCCTTGTGGCCAAAAATCAGTGGCCAAAGGAAAGCTTTTATGTTTTTCTCACATAGTCTAGTTTAGCATCTAGTGTGGCTCGGAATAGAGAATGCTGGGTGAGGCAAGGAAGGGTGGCACCACTGCTGGCACATTCTGCCTCTGGGAATGGCTCAGTATGAGAGAAAAATGTGGGTTCTTGGGGAGGCAGGTCACGTCGTGAATCAGTCTTTTCTAGCTTCCCTCCTGTGCTTTATAAGTAGTTTGGATTCCAGGAACTGAAGCAAGTGTCTGGCGCATGCTTTACGCACTGCTCTAGCTTGAGAACTCACTGTTGGGATAGAGTTTTCAAGGTCTTGGATGTGCTTCTGTTTTAGAGATTGCCTCTGAGTAAGAAGCCACTGTAAGAGATTGCCACTCAGAGATTGCCTTTGAGTAAGAAGTTCTGGCAGTGACTTAATGCAGGACCTATCCATCATCTCACAGCTGTGTGTGCTGAGTCTGGGTAGGCACAGTGGGGTTCGCTGCTCAGGGTCCTACAAGGCTAACATGAGGTGGTCACCCGGCTGAGCTCTCAGCCAGAGGCTCTAGGAAAGTCTGCCTTGTCACTCGTTCAGGTTGTTGGTGGAATTCAGTCCCTGCAGTTGTGGGACTGAGGTCCCTGTTTTGTTGTTAACTGCTGTGCCCTGGTCCTGGCAGGTGGTTGACTCCTCTTCCAAAGCTAGCATGGCACACTGACATGTCCCCATGCTGCAGACCTGTCTGAATCCTCCTGTGGCCAGCTGAAGATAGCCCTCTATTTTCAAGGGCTTGAGCAATTAGTTCAGGCCACTGGATAATCTTCCTATCCAAGGTGCACTGTGCTGTAAAAGACAGCCGAATGATAGGAGTGACAGCTCATCACACACAGTCACAGGTTTCTGAGATATGGGAAGGGACTCTGGGTGGTGGTGGGGCATGACTTTTCAGAATGCTGCCTGCCACACTGAATGTTTAGGTAAAGAAAGTTGTGAAGTAGTGTGTGTTACATATGAGCATGTGTACGTGTTTATCCGTATGTCTGCATCTTTGCCTGTCTATATGTGCTTATGTGTATGTACCTGAGGCACATGTCTTCCTGTTTGTGTTGCTACATGTAGCAGTAGACAGCAGGTATATAACAGACTGAGCAGCATTGTCCGAGCCAGCAGGAGTTTGGTTTGCCTTGGGTTGTGCATTAGCGCTGTGCCCTTGGGCAATTCTTGGAGCGTCTTCAAGCTTCAGTTTCTTCACCAGTGCGTGGGGTAAGCAGTCTGTAGCCCTCCTTAGCAGGGAGGGTGGTGACTGTGCCTGTCAGCAGCATTGTGAGGATGAGATAAGACAGCCTGCAGCAGTACATGGAAGCAGAGGCTCAGTACTCAACACACCAGTACTCAACACTCAGTACTCAACACTCCAATCCCACTCAGCTACACACTAAGCTGTGTGACTCTGAGCCTCAGGTAGGCTTATGACAAGGATTCAGTAAAGCCTCATGAAAACCCTTAGCACAGACACAGCACTCAATAGGTGTTATGGAGGATGCTTGGGTCAGCACTTGCTGGCTGCTGCTTCCACTCCTGGTGTTTTGGTGTTAGCAGTGTGCCTGCTTTTCTCTTCCTGCCCAGATGGAGTCTGCCTGTGTGACCATTCACGAAGCTCTGAAGACAGTGATCGACTCCCAGACCCACTACCGGCTCCGGGAAGCCCAGGACCGGGCCCGAGCTGAAGATCTCAATAGCCGGGTCTCTTACTGGTCTATTGGCGAGACAATCGCCCTATTTGTGGTCAGCTTCAGCCAGGTGCTACTGCTAAAAAGCTTCTTCACAGAAAAGCGACCTGTTAGTAGGGCAGTCCACTCCTAGCTCAGGTGTCCTGCTCCAGGGCTCTGCATGCCCCAGGGTATGCAGCTCCCCTGGGTCCCAGGGTGCTGGGCTAGGAGGTGCCGCCCAGGGTGGAGGCAGAGCTGCAGCAGGAGGGCACAGGGTGATGCGCGGCGTTGGCAGCACCTTGCCTCCCCTGCTGATGCCTGACCTTTGTACCCCAGCACTGAAGCTCATAGAGCTCAGTAATTTGAAGACATTCAATTGCATCATGTGTGCAACACCAAAAGCTTGTGTTCATTTGGCAGAGGGTGGTCACTATGGAAGGGTGGCCAGACAGAGATCTGGTGGCCTGGCTGGTAGGTGGAAGCCCAAGTGCCCAGGCCTCTGGGGCTGCTTAAGGCCTTGCCCTCTGTCCCATGATGCCTGAGTCATTTGCCTATGCATCCTAGCCCATGCAGGGTGTAAAGGGGCTCTCAATTCTAGCATTTTCTCCGTGGGGATCTGTGTACCTGAGGAAACCAGGCTCTGAAGCACTGTACAGCTCTCCTCCCTCCATGTGAGCAACGGTGTCAGCCATGCAAGTTGGACCAGGCTGGTCATGGGCACCCTTGGGTAGCTGTGTGTTTCCCAGGAGGCGGAACTGTGGCTAATAAAAACTAAGTTTGTGCATCCTCGGGATATGTGCCTTTATTTCCTTGTCCTAAAAGGGCTCTCAGCTTATGAAGAGCATAGCTGTGTGCATACATAATTAGGGTGTGATAGAGCAAGGCTGGAGAGGTGCATGGAGCAGAGAGATGCCAAGGGGACAGGAAAGGCCTCTCCTTCCAGGTGAGTGAGAGCCATGACATGAGAAGGCTCCTTGCTGTTCCCATCACATACCTGGCTATGTGAAGGGTCTGTGCAAATGCTAGTTCCTCTGTGAGGACACCCTCTCTCTCCTACCTGCATGACCTGCTCCATCATTTCTGTCTGATCAAATGTCATCCGTGACAGTTAAGTTTCCCTAACCACCCTATTCAGGGTGGCATCGCCTCACCTGCCTTCTCACCCATTAGAAAGCAGTCAGTGCATGCTGCTCGAGTGTCTGTATGGCAAGTCTCAGGGATAAGCAGATAGGATATTTGTCCTCAAGGGAACTTTCTGTGATATCTGAAACCCTGAGCTGTCTGGGAGGTGTTAATAATGCATTGCAGGAAAGGGAACAAAATAGTCCCTTTATAAAGATACCCCATAAGCCTTACTGAGCTTGGTTAAGGGATAAATACTGCTTACCTTTTATATGCTTTTGATGGTATTTTCCTCTTATTTTAAAATTAAGTACGATTATATGTAAAAGATTACTTACGGAACATGTGTAGTGTGGAGTGAAAAACTGCAAAAGTCCTCATGTCTACTACCTAGAGCAGCGATTCTCAACCTGTGGGTTGCAGGTCAAACAACCCTTTCACAGGGGTTGCCTAATATCAGATATTTACATTATGATTCATAACAGCAAAAATTACAGTTATGAAGTAGCAATGAAAATAATTTTATGGTTGAGGGGGTAGCACAACATGAGGAACTGTATTAAAGGGTCATGGCATTAGGAAGGTTGAGGACCACTGACCTAGAGTAAGAAGCAGAACAGAATGTGACCTGCATCTCTAGGATGCTCCCTGCACCAGCTCCTTCCCAACTCCCAGCCTCCAGGGAAACACCAGCTTGGAGTGTTGCCGTTAGGGTTTCACGGAGAAGTGATGTCGCAGAGAATAAACACACATGTTGAAATTGTATATTTAAATAAAGGGGTTCACAGCTCTCTCAGGCAGGTGACAGCTTTATTAATTATTCCTGGCCTACTACATAGCCAGGGACCACTGGTCTCATGGCGAATGGCAAGTTGATTTCTTTACTCTTGTTTTAAATAGTCCACAGTGCACATGTGCACTGTACCTCATTAATATTCATTATAATCCCTCTGCACATGTGCACTATACATCAATGACTTCATTAATATTCATTACAATCCATAATCCATCTCATGAATAAACATCTTGTGAGTATCTCGTGAGCAGCGCCTCCCTAGTAATCCACCATTTAACTGATAGCACTCTATCTAACATAGTCCTTTTGAACATAATCTCTTTAACATAACTTAATGGAGAACATGTTAGCCATTACTTCTTTTTTTCTTATCTGATGAAGCCTGAGGCTCAGGGGACAAAGGTGAATTGAATACCTGCCCCACTGACCTCACGGTTTGGAGGCAGTTACTTCAATATTAAGAAGGCATAATTAAGAAATTTCTAAGACATACAGACTACTTGTTTGCAAGCTTCTGTTCCTATGTGGGCCTTAAGTTAGTGGGACTGACCAGGCCGACCTTAGGTCAGGGGGTTTTTATGCCCACAGCCAACCCGGCCGTATGGGATTCTGCTTCAGTTTCTCACAAGTATGCCTGCACAGAGTCTTCACTGCTCTCTCTCAAACAGCTTTTTTTGGCCACTGGCATAAAGGTCTTTCGCCGATGATGGAGTTGAAAAACTCCTTCCTGAGAAAGACGTTCAAAGAATTGAGGGGCATAGCTTTACTAAAAAACCCTTGCCACCTTCCATTTTTTTTTTTTTAAATGAGAACAGAGTTCTTCTGAACTTAAAAAACCAAAAGATAACAGTAGGATTGGTAGTGACACCTTTTAAGCCTTATAATCATTCATCTATGAATATGTAGACTCCTTGAGAGGACAGAAACCTTGCCCTGGTCATTAACACCTCACACTTTACAGTTATAGCCTGAAATCAAATTATTTTTTGATTATAGAGAAATATAGCAGGGTACTCAATATAAGAATTTCAAAGATAAGAGGATAGAGTAAGAGATGAGATGGAAGTATAAATGTTAAGAAGCAAAGGGAAGTATGGAAAATTTTTCTTTCTTTTTTTTTAAATTTCAGGTTAATGTGAGAGTACAAGCAGCTAGGGTACAAAATTTGAATTTGCAAGGCAGAGTCCCTCTTGTAGTTGTGTCCCACACCCAAAAGATGGAAAACTTCTGAGCACGTAATTGATGGATGACAGGGTATCAGATCATTTTGGCAATTAGAATCCATTGGATATACTTAAAATAGTGATGTAACTTTGAAAAAATTAATGTTTAACCCATGCCAGAAATTATCTCCTTTCTATTTAAATTCAGATGAAGTTTTAGATGTCAGGTATAAATGGCTTTAGAGTTTCTCAAGATCTCTTAGAAGACAGTCGAGAAAAAGAAGTAGAAGATGCCGCTTTGCCCTGCATCCGGATTCCCTGGGCTGATTCCCCCTGACATCTGGTTGCCTTGGTGAAAAAACGGAGCAGTGCTGGCATTTGAGTAGAAAGAGGATTAGGTCAGGTCTGACCCTGATGGATTTGAATCTAGATCTATGTGCTAGTTGTGTCATCTTGGTCAAGGTACTGAACTTCTCTGAACCTTTGTTTCTTCTTCTGTAGAAGGGATATAGGGAGCATTTTTAATGGGCAGGGACTTGGGGCTTATGTATCATTGATGAGTGGAATTAGGATTCACTCTTTCCCCAGTAAAGTCCATTTGAATCTGAAGCCTGAATGCTACTGACCCGTGGGATTTGGAGACACATGTTCTAGCTTGCGTAGGAAATTGAGAGTCCCTCAGGAAAAAGGGATAGGAGCTCCAACTCTTACTGAGGTTGTAGATGGATTATTAAGAGAGATTTTGGAGTACAGTGTGCTCCACAGCACAGAATTTAAGAAAGACAGTGGAGCTTCTGGGACAAGATCCCCCATAAAGTAATTATGAATCTGGATGTGCCAGCTGGCCTTGGCGCCAGAGACTGAGTTGGTGAGTGGTGCTGATTATGAGTGCCTTGTGCTGTGCCGTCTGCCAGTAAAATGCCTCTGTCTGAAAGAGCTTCTGTGCTCGTCCAGGTAGCTTTACTGCAGAACACTCTTTACTGGGTAACCACAAGGAGGGAGAGGAGGACATTTTCTTTGTTAAAAGATAATTTTCCAAGAAAATGTACAATCAAAAGTCTCGTACAGATATAAAATGAATATGTACTAAAGATTGTCTTTTACTCATTAACCAGTGGGGGAACCAGGCAGATGTCATAGTGATTCAAAAGAGAATTCAAAGAACTGACATATTTATACAGAATTGTAAAATAGCTCAAAGATACGGAGCCAAGCTAGCATCAGTAACCCTGAAGGAAGTGCTTTGTGGAGAAAACACAGTTGCAAAAATAGCTCGAAGACAAAGCTTAGACTCAGATGGCCTGGAGGATGTCTAGAAATGTGTACTTTTTTATTAAAATGGATTTTTTCCCACAACTTCAAAAGGGACTGCTGAGCTGTCCTACCACCAGGGGAGTGGCCTTGATTCCATTTTAATTAACAGTACAACCAGCTGTTCCTGGTTCTGCAGAGGCTCATTGCCTGGGCTCTTCAGGCCTGGAATGGAAATGTCTGTCAGCTATTGCTAGTCTTGGGACTTCACTTTGGTCTTTTATTGTTGCTGCTTTTAACCCTGCCCTACCTTTGTAAATAGCCCCTCCATTAAACTCTCCTCAACTTGAAATAGGAAGGAGGGAAGAAAGAAGGAAGAATCAGCTGTTGAAAATTCTAGATGCTATAGATTGAATATTTGCATCCTCTCCCTCTCAATTTATTTATGGAAGTACTACTCCCAAAGGATATGGGGTCAGGAGGTGGGACCTTTAGGAAGTGATGGAGTCATGAGGCTAGAGCCCTCCAAAATAGGTTTGGGGCCCTCATACAGGAGGACTAAGGGATATCCCTTGCTCCTTCTGATACCTGAGGAAGCAATGAGGAGACACCCATTCATGATCCAGAAGGTAGGAGCCCCACTAAACACTGAATCTGCTGATGCCTTAATCTTGGACATCCCAGCCTCCAGAACTGTGAGAGAGAAACTTCTGAGGTTTACAAGTCACCTAGACTGTGGTGCTTTTTCCTTTTTAGAGATGACATCTTACTATATGACCCAGGCTGGTGTTGCACTCCTAGACTCAAGTAATCCTGTTTCAGCCTTCTGAGTAGCTGGGACTACAGGCCCCGACCTCTGCACCTAGCCCAGACTGGTTTTTCTGTGAATGCATCCCAATGAACTAAAACACTAGGAAAGAAAATTAGAACAAAAATGCAAACACCTATATAATCAACCCCAAGATGGGCAACTCTGGGAAAAGGCTGGATGTTCTTCTCAGTGTATAGGTGGATCCCTAGAGCATGAAGATCTGCGCACTCAGTGACTTTCTACCAGCTCTGCTGTTTGATCCTGTATGTGAACGTGCCTAGCACAATACTGGCTGAAAGCAAATGCTAATCTGCTCTATACTCACTTGCCAAACAAAACACTAATAAATAAACCAGAGGTAACGGTCCCTGGGAGGGTTTGACCATCTAAATCCACCTGTGAGAATTTATAGTTAGACATTCATGTTATTCCTTGCTGCAACTGGAAACTCAGCAGTTTTTATTTGCTTCTCACTGGAGTCTGTGTTATGTGCTATAGTCGTTTGAGGGATAGTTCATTTTATCTGATCACAACTTTTCAAAATAAAAAGTAGTTGCTTCTTTGGGGTTAGGGTGGCAGCACCCAGCTAATGGCCATATTTTCCCCATGTGTTTGGGAGCTTGTGTAAGAATTCTAAAAGC